TTTTTCTATGTTGCTATTGTTTGTCTGGCATTATCATCTGCATGTTATTTTACAGTAGAAGTGTAGAAGCTAAGTACAGAAGACATCGTTTTCTGAGCTACAATGGAATATATATATATATACAATTCTTTCTGATAAATATCCTATCTTTTTACCCCAACCACTCTTAATTTATACAATGTAAATTTAGTGGATAGGGTAGTTGTTTTTGTTGTTGCTACATTAAGGTCTCAATTTTACAAAACGCCATTCAGCAAATTTTGCATGCAACACAATTCTAGTTGCCGTTCCCCCCCAAATATTAGTCTGTTGTTTCTATAGCAGTCTGGACAACTAACATAAAGACATTATTTGCATCAATTCAAGTGCATTTGTATAATAACACTTTATTAACAAAATTATTTGGTTTGGGGAGATAATAAAATATATAAATTTGGAGTGAATCACTATTTAGTTTTAGTTGACTTACCTCCCCCCAATAATTATTAAATGAACATTGTACTGTGTCAATAAATAACTGGGAATTATAATTGCTGATCTATTGCAAATATCCAATGCATCTGCAACATGATATACACCATTTATGTAAGTTTCTGTTAAAATGAGGTTATATTTCAAAATATGGCAAGAAGGAAACAACAGCAAAGAAAAGAAAATTTACTTCTTTCACGATATGTACTTGGACTTGGTTTCAATAGACATGCTTACCACTGCAGGGACCATATTGCCAGTTGAGATCAAACTGCTTCAGTATTTCCAGCTGATCAGGTTGTGCAGTATCTTGTAAGTGAGATTCTGCTTGAACTAAGTCTGAGAAGCAACCAACCCATTAGTGCAAATAGGTGGAGTGCTGGTATTTTTCCTTGCATAGAGGGCTTAGGGTGGCACTTAACCAATTGTGTTACCATCTCCTCTGTAGCCAATTCCAAAATCTAAATGGCAACAGCCATGCTATTTGAAGCTTTCCATCTATATCGGTGTTTCACAAATTTGGCAACTTTAAGATGTATGGTTGTCAATTCCCAGAATTTTCCAACTTTCATATAGGGCAAGGGGGGAATTCCCAAATAAGATTTCAATTGCATTAGTATCATTAAACTATTAGTAATCATGGGGGGGGTCCCTATTAGGCATTCCTAAAGCAGGTGGGAGATGGAACTTCATAACTTTCCAGATTTTATTTATTTATGTATCCATATCTAAGCTGGTTTACTTCCCTCGAAGCAGCATCCAGGACATTTTTTTGGCCACCAAAAATAATCAGGTAAATATGTTTTCAAAAATGGCATGAACTCTTCTTGCCCCACTATGTACCCGTGGCAATTTTTTGGGGGAAGGGGGAGCTATCCAAGAGGTGGCCAAGGACCTAATCCTCTCTACATTCTAGAAGAATTTAGGTTTCCACAGAAGCTGCTGGGAATGTTGGAGTAACTGCAGGAAAAGATCCTTGCTCTCTTTTTCTAATGAAAAGAATGTTCCTTTCTGTCTCATCATCTCCTCCCTTTCTCATTGTTCTCCAGTTCTATTTTTAAAAATGGAACTAGCTTGGAGTTGTAATTTGCTACAGGCCCTTTCAGCCAAGGAATGTCAGTTGGTGGGGACTAGGAGATGTTCCCTCCTCTGCCAAAGTCCCTGTCCTCCAGAATAGTCTCTCCTTAAGAGTTGAGGATGAGCCTGACACCGTTGGCCTGTAGTAAGGCTCCAAAGACCTGGATGTACACTTGGGCCAGTGTGCGAAGTGGCCCGTTTTCTGATTGTATGGACATCTATGATATATTTTCTCAGCTGCCATATATATTTAATTTTGTATTATATAAGTGCTTTTAATTATTATTGTTCACTATTCAGAGTCCATTGTTTTGAGATGGGCAGCTAATTGAATAAATCTACCCAGGTAAGGCATCTGCCAGGATGTCAGGCACAAAAGAAAAGAAAAATGAACTAGGACAGATAGGCTTCCCACTTTGGGATTGGAATTCTGCAACATGGCTGACTTGTTGAAGCTCTCCAAATGGGGTTGGCAACGCCAAATGCTAGAAGACATCTCTTTGGGCTCTTGCCAAAAGCTGGGGTTAGAAGCATTGCCAGTTTCCCCTTCTGCCTCCAGTGACATCAAGAAAGTAGAAAGAACTGGAGAGTGGGATGGAGGAGTCCTACTAACCATTGAAATGCTCACAATGAGCAAGGGTTGTCTTGATGACCTCTAAGGCACTTTCCAGCTCTGTGAGCTCTAGCCCTGCTTGCAAATCCACCCATTGAACCCGCTGAGGAGGAGACTAGTGCTTGTTTTCTGCCATGGGTGGAAAGAGTAAAGAAGCGGAGGAATCCATCCACCCCACCAAGCCATTCCAATGGCCAAAGCAGGGGAAGGAGACCACAGAATTGCTTACCCTGCGGTGGGCTCGGAGTCTGAGCCGCTTTTCTTTCTTCCCTGCCTCCTTTCTTTTTCACCACTTGGAAAGAATCGGTGATGAGTCGTTTCCTGCTCATAGCGTCCCTCCCGGCTGCTCCCAGTGAAGGGGAAGGAGAAGCAGAGAGAGGCTTAGACCGGCGGCTCTCCGGAAGCCGCTGCGCTTCACCCCCAGCTGCCCGCTTTCGAGCAGAGGATTCCCGCGTCCCGTTCCCACCTGCGAGCGGGACGCCCCTCAATCCTCAAGCATCCTCATCCCTCGCGAAGGATGGAAAAAGCAGAGGGACCGATCCTCCCGACCTTCGTCTTTGCTCCCCGTCAGCTGCTCTGCCCCGCCAGCCCCGAGGAAGGCTTTCCTTCGCCAACAGCCGCGCCCAGGTTTTATTCCCAGGGGACCCGATCCCGCCAACCTCTCGCTCGCTCCCTTCCTCGAGGGAGAGAAAAGCAACGTCGCGAACCCAAAGGGGCTTTTTTATCCAAGAGGGAACTGGACTTGCTCCTCATCCAAGAAGCTGCTTCGGCTCTGAGGGGCTTCCACTCTCCCACCATCAGAACAGAAGAAGCTTCTTGGATGGGGAGCGAAACGTCTTCAAAGGAAAAACCAACAACCCAGAAAGTCCAGCTGCCTCTGGAAAAGGGGGGGGGGAAGCCCCTTTGGGACAACCCCGGACCTGGATGGCTGAGAATCTCCACAGGCATTTAGCAACATCGAGAAGAAAGATTCCCCCTCCCCTCTTTGGGCCCCGGGGTGCTTCCTCCTATGAAGGAAGAGAAAGAGAAGCCAAACCCAGGAAAAATGCGGCGGGCGGCGTCCTCACGAGTCGCCGAGGCCTCCAAGCAGCGCCCGGAACGTCTCGTGCGAACGCAGGAGCGGAGACGGCGGCCCAGCTGCGAAGCTCGTCGCCCCACAACCCGGAATAGCCCGTGTGGCGTCTAGTTGTTGTTGGTGTGGCTTAGCCAATGGCGGAGCTGCTTTCGCTTTGCCTTGGAGGGAAGGGGAACAGTTCCTTGAGGCATTTTAGGCAAGGATATGAGGCCCAAGAATGAGAGGCCCCCAGAAGAAAAACATGTAGGAGCAATATGAAGGTTTTTCAACAAAATGGGGTTTCTTTGCCTAAAACTATCTGGACCAAGCCTACACCCCTGCAGGCTGAGAAATACAGGCTGAGAAATACAAATTTGAGCCTGGTAATGTCATGTCACATGTCTTTCTAGCACCATTAACATTTCCTGGAGTTTTCCAAACAGACCCGATCATGCTTAGTTTTAGAGTTTTTGCCACTAGACCAGAGGTCTCTAACCTTGGCAACTTCAAGACTTGTGGACTTCAACTACCAGTAGTAGACCATGCACTAGACCATCTCCAAATATACTGGGAAATATAACATGATGTCCTTGTTTGGCATACAGACCATGTGAAAATTACTGGCAATTATCCATCCATATCCCACTTCCTTCTTTTGAATGACTTTCTGACTTTTCTGCCTTATCCCCAGCACTGAACTGCTTTTCAGTCGTGGTCTTTGTTCCTCCTAAAATGCAAAGGGAGTTCAGTTGGCCAGTATTTTGGCATTCCTCATGGATAAGATTTGATATCTCCTGATGATGTAGCTTCTTTTTCTGGGAGTTATCAGCAGCTTTGCAACATGTCCTGACCTGAATTATGATCATGATTTCTGACACTCCCTGAGAGTTTCCCACAAAGTCAATGGGGAAGCTGGCAGGAAGTCAGAAGTTGCTCCCGCTCCCACTGCTTTTTTGTTCTCCTATGGTCATTCTGCTTCTTTAGTTAATTAAGGAAACATCTCTGAAAGGGATCACAGGTTTTCTATGGCAAGATCCTTCTTATTAGAGCTTTCCAAATGAACTAGATCTCTACCAGAATCCATTTTTCACATCCCTGTTCCTCATTAAACTTCATCGCAAAGCAGGTCCCTCTCTAGAAAGGCATTATAAAATTCAAGATTGTGCTTATTCCAGTGGTACAGAAGAGATGAAATAAAATCTAGTGCCCAGGAGATCATTCATAGGGGGAAATAATGCATGGAACTGTCATGGTGTGCTTCGTTTGGCTGCTTTAGAAGCTGCTCCCTGCATAAGCATACAGTGATCAAATACACTACCAAAGTTGGCAAGGAGTAGCATGGACAGAAAAGCCTGAAAGAAATAAGCTTTTATAATAAAAAAAAAGGAATGCTTTGAGCCTCCTGGTTGTTCAAAAGCACTTCTTTCTAAGGACTTGCACAACCCTAAAATGTATCCAAATAAATGCATATATAGATGATAAAAATCACTTAAACACAATTAACTAATCACTTTACACAATAGCTATTGGAACATCCTCTGTGACAACCAGTAAAAACAACCTTCTTTTTACCAAAACTGCATGTCCCTCTGTTGACCTTTAATGGATTATTCTGGGTTTAAAATTATGTGTCCTTTTTCTTATTTTTATTGAAGAATCATTGTAACTGTTTCTCATATGAACCTTGAGACATGCACATTTCTGGAAACTTGAACTTGAAGAAACCTGTCCTGGGGCTCAATTATTGGCCAATTATTACCAAAAACTTTTTAACACCCTCTTCATCAAGGAACTTCTACATCCACAAGGCATCTGTTAATAGTTAATCTGCTGTAGTATAAATCTGATCTCCATATCAAAGCAAGTATTAAAGAGACTGGACTGGACAGAAGACAGACATAAGAAGGGAGGAGAAATTGTGGAGCTATCCCGACAAAGACCTGGCTCGCTGAAGGTGAGCAGGAGACACTTGCGACAGAATACTGGTGCTGCCTAAGGGAAAATCCTGGGTTATGTTCAAATGTGACCTGAAAGGGAAGGAAAGTTACAGTGGGAAGCAGAGAAGCTGCACTGGTTTGTGCCTTCCCTTGGCAAGGATTTTGGATAAATCTGTTGTTTTGGTGAGATAGAGGGCGTCCCCATTTGGGAGTGACAGGAAAGAATGGAGAAGTGGTCTCTCATTCAGGGTATTTCTATGTCTTTGTTCTACCCATCAGCTTCAAGCCCCAAAACCATGCTGGTCCTCTCCTGTCCTTACAAACTCCGCTTGTTGGAGGGAATGCTGAGGAAGAGTCTCCCTCAGGCAATTGTGGTAGGTTTGAAACATTTACTAGAACACTGAGGTAGGGTCTTGCTTGACAATAACTTCATTTTCTAGAACTTAACATTTGGCACTCAGGATTAATAAAATATATTATGTATACTATGTAAGTATACTATGCCTAATGGGCATAGATCCCTGGTGACTGGAAAGTTGAAGGGCAAATCGCTAATTTTCTGCATAACTGATGAAATGCCTTCATCTTATTCATCAACAATTTATCTTATACATCCTTTAACCCGGACTCCTTTTCCCTCAAAACACTATTGACCTCACCCCATTCCTAAAAGGTATGTAAGGGATGTGCATAAGCGCACAATCATGCCTACCGTGCCTGTCCTATTGTCCCCAATTATTCGTACTTATTTCCTGTATTTATACTTATGTTTATTCTTATCTTTATTATCTTGTAAGCCATTGACAAATCAAATTTTAAAAAAACAAAGACATAATTCTGGAATATCATCAACATTCAACACGTGGGGAAGGGGGGGTGATAGAACACTAGGTGGAAGTTCTTGCAGCAGATTTAAATTAAGGCCACTCTCCTTTTCTCCAAACATTGATCTCAGACTGATTCCCTTAACTGCACTGACACTTGACTCTTGACAGGTGCACGGAGCAGTCATGAACATAAATCGGGGGAATCCAATTCATCATGAGGTGATTGTGGATTCATGGCCAGAGTTCAAAGTTGTCCTCACCAGACCATGCAAAGAGGTAATAAACAGCCTTGGTGATTCTGAGAGAGGGAGGGAGAGAAGAAGGGAGGAAGGGATATTTAGCCAACCCGAGGGACAATCTAAGATACTGCTGGTTTTTTAGAAGAGGCCATCTTTGGCCTTTCCAAAAAAAGAAGGCATCGCACTGATGGTTATTTCTATCATTTTATCTCCAGATTAGGTGAGAGATATGAAGAGGTGGTGAATCAGGGGATTATACTGTAGTATATGAGTTCCATGCCTTTCTTCTAGATTGTTACAGATCCCTCAGATGGGTATGCCAATGTGTATGCAGCATTTTATCAGGATCTTGATGCGTATCGGAGGCTTGTAAAGGATACAGATGCTGTGAACTGGGCCCACACCTTCCGTCTCTTTGGTAATGATCCTTTTTGAAGGACTGAAGAAAAGGCATTGTATTCTCACATAGGATTTTTTCTATTACAATATATAGGCTGTGACATCAGAATGAAAATGGCTCAAACATTCTTGAGTAATAACCACTAAAGCCCTGTCCCAAAGAAGATAGTAATTGCATCCTCCCTTTTCACGTGATGCCAACCACTATCTATACAATGATGTTGTCACCTTCCGGCAATATTTTCGTTATGTTGTTTTAATTATTTGCCTATTCCGCTCCCAATGTGAATTGAGTCCATCTCAGCTGGTTGTATGAATTGGCATCCTTCAGTCTCAAGAGACTATGGTATCGTGCTCTGAAAAGAGGTCCTAAAACAGCATCTAGTGTGGCTAAAAAGGCCAATTTGAGAGTGGCAATCCCTTCCACATCAAGGACAGACTGTCTCCTGTCCAGCCCCCCCGGATTTCGCTGGTTCTGGGACTGCCTCTTTGCCTCAGCCTGCTGAACCAGTGTCTCTTCAAATTGAAGGCACCCATGCTGTGTCTTTAGCCTCCAAGCTGAATGACCAGAGGTCAAGGTTTCCCAGCTGTTGATGTCCATTTCCAAGGCCTTTTGATCCCTCTTGCAGATATCCTTATATCGCAGCTGTGATTCCCCCCAGGGCGCTTTCCCTGCACTAATTCTCCATACAGGAGGTCTTTTGGAATCCGACCATCAGACATCCTCATGGCATGCCTAAGCCAGCGTAGACTTCGCTGTTTCAATAGTATATACATTCTATAAATTCCAACACGTTCCAAGACTGCACTATTTGGAACTTTGTCATGCCAGCTGATGCCTAGAATACACCGAAGACAGTGTATGTGAAGGGTGTTCAACTTTCCATCCTGCCATGCATAAAGGGCCCAAAACTCGCTGCTGTATAAGAGTGTGCTCAAGACACAGGCTCTATAGACCTGAATCTTTTTATGTCCCGTCAGCTTCTTATTAAGCCATAAAGGTTGTATGACTATCAAATTAAACATGACCCACATCTAGATTAAACTGCAGGAATGGTGATTTGGACTGATCCAGACTAAAATCATAAGAAAAAGAAAGTACACCCTTTCAGAGTCCTATGGTTTTACGTATCAGAACATAGTAAAACTAATCAGGTCCTTAGAAGTTCTTAAAAAGTACAAGCTCAGATGAACAACAACATGTAAGATGTTATACCATGTCATCATTTATTTTACAAAAAGAAAGCCAAATACAGAAGCCTTGTGTGAAAGTTTAACCCTTACAACCATTGCTGAATCCCCACGGTCATGTGATCAAAATTCAACTGCTTGGCAACTGACTCGTATTTATGACAGTTGCAGTGTCCGGGGGTCATGAAGATCTCCGATATCTTGCCTGTTTGTACTTTCAACTTGTGCACACATCTTTTTCTTGGTCAATGAGTTTTTTATTGTTTTTTTCCAGGGACTCAAGAAGGGATACCCGAAACTACCCAGGATGCAGCAGCTGCTACACAAACAAAGTTATCTGTAATTCCTTACTTCCTGTATGTGCTTTCAGATCCAAATAAATTTCAGGCTGGTAGGTGAGTGACCATCCTGTTGGCCATCACCACTGTTATAATGTTGAGGCCTGAGGCAAAATTGTTAAGGCATTCTGAAGGTTTTGTTACAATCAGGCTCCCACAGTAATGGTGGCTGTCTTTGAAATCCATGCTCACATTGTTTATGGGTCAATCGGGGCCCAAAATCAATAGGATTCCTATTGGACTAACTAGATAAACTAGCCATTTAATTTTCTGTTCTCATCTCTTTGATTTTGTTCTTTTTGCCTTTCACCTTTTCCAGGCTAGAGCCCGGCTTCAGACTTTCCTCCTTGAATAGTTCCAGCGTTGATCTACTGAATGAAAACTGGGCCTACGGGCGCAATCAACAAAGCC